TCCATCTGGGAGTGGCAGATATCCTGATGCTGGTGACGCTGCCCATCTGGGCAGTACAGTATGCCAAAAGTGATGGATGGACATTTGGTACTCCCCTGTGCAAGATCAGTGGAAGTGTTTTTACAGTAAGTATTGTGCTGAAGTAAAGATGCAGTGAAAATGTCTGTACTTTCACTTAATTTAGCAGAAGTGTCTTTCATTGATTTCTTTAGATTAACTTCTACAGTGGGATCCTTCTCCTGGCCTGCATCAGTCTGGACCGCTACCTGTCCATCGTCCATGCTACACAGATGTACTCAAGGAAGAAGCCTTGGGTTGTTCAGGCCAGCTGCCTGATGGTGTGGTGCTTTTCCCTGCTTCTCTCTATCACTGACTGGATCTTTTTAGAAGATGTGTTTGATGATAGACGAGGCAGAAGAGAGTGTGTTCCCAATTATTACAAATTTCGTGAGGAGGCTGTATATAATTGGAGGTTGGCATCACGCATGATTTACCTCATAGTTGGCTTTGCACTTCCTTCAGCCATCATGATGTTCTGCTACTCCTGCATTTTGCATCAGCTGAGGTGTGGTGCCCAGAGCCATCAAAAGCAGAGAGCTTTTAAAGTTATTGTGGCTGTGGTGGTGGTTTTCTTTATCTGCTGGACCCCGTACAACACCACGCTCTTAGTGGAAACGTTTAATTTTGATATCAGTAATGAAACTTGTTCAGACACAACATCCCTGGAGAAAATTAAGACAGTGACCACCTGTGTGGGTTTCATTCACTGCTGCCTCAATCCCATCCTGTATGCTTTTGTGAGTGAGAAGTTCCGGCGTCGGCTCATGAGCAGGGAAACAGTGTTCATGTCAGACTTAAATGTTTCAAATCATCAAACAAATCATAGGTGAATTGTTCCCCCTGACCGTGCTTCCTCTAAAGAACAGTCAGCCAGATTAAGGAGCTCCTCTAAGTATTTCTTCCACAGTCTGGCTAGGTCCTCAGTTGAAGGCAGCAGCACCCCACCTTCATTAAATACACTGTAAGTAGAGCACCGCTTTCCCCTACACCTTTTCTCATGGTCATGCTCACCCCATGATAATAGATGCAGCTCCAAAATGAGGGCCACTGATTGATTCCTTCTTTCTTTCTTTAGGAGCCAGAACTCTCCCTGTCCAAAATTACTGTCAAGTTCATCCTCATGATGAATTTATATAAGCTTCCAATCACAACTGTAGTCTCTGGTACAAAGTGTAAAGTTTTAGTTGATGTTACAGAGAATTCTGACTGACTGAAAGCAGTTCTTTAAATAGGAAGGACCCACTGGTGTTATGCGGGGGCCCAGTCGTTTTAAGCTGGGTTTGTTCCTGTTTATATAGGCTGCTTTTGAAAATATCAGGATTTACACCCAGG